GGAACAGCAAATGGAGCCGGAAATATCCTTGCAGCTATTTTTGGAAAGTACAGTCTGCCACAAACATCCTTCACTGATTTGTTTTAGGGTGTGTGTGTGTGTGAAGCCTGTGTTTACATGAACACTAGATAACAAGCTCTCTTTAAAGGTTACAGTCTTTTCTTGTTTGCACGCTCCACAATTTCTAGCACAGTATTTTTACACAGGGCTAACGCTTCATTATCATCTGACTTCATGTGAGTTGTAAGGTATCCATTGTTGAATCAACAACTTTTAAAGAACTAGAACCCCCAGATATATCTTATTTTAAAACCACCTGTACATAATGTTATCTTTCTCTGATTATTCAGGAATTGCTTTAGAACCCTGCAGCCTTTCCAGATCAATGTTCCGAACTTCAACCATCCCGCCCCAGCGCTCAGAGAACACGAGTGCTGATCATCGCACTTCCGTTGGTATATTTAGAGTGTGAACGTGAGAAAGGTGGTGTCTTTGCGTCAGTGTCGTGGTATCTCTAGTTAACACATCAGGACCCGATGGCAATCGACTCGAGATTCAGAAGGTAAACTACAAACCAAGTCCTGAAGTTAAAGGGCACAGCACCAAAGATGTCATTCTGCCCAAATCAGATACTATTTCAGAAACTGTAAACACGTAAAAAGTATGGACGAAATGGATCATTAGACCTGCATAGACCTGCCGTGGACAGTTTGAAACAGACACATCAATAAGCATAAACACAAGACACCGTCCTGCATCCTACATGTGGTTATTCGAAAGGTTGAAGCTCTAGATGAAAAGGTGTCGCGAGCATGCCACCTGCCACTTTTCTCACATTGGAACTGAACAAAGGGGTTATTCTCAAAATAATTGCAAATAAATTAGTTCAATAAGTTTTCTACGTTCACAGGAAGCCTCCCATGAACTTTAAAAATGACACAGAACCCAATGAAAGGCAAGTTTATTTAACTATAAATTACGTTTTCCTACTTATTCGTCTTAGGGTAAACAAAAGTGGGACAATATATTTGGATGATAAAAAGTCACACAGAAAGGGTAACAATGGGCTTTAAACTAATACGAGAAGAGAAGGAGAGAGTTCTGGAAACTGGCTGTGCATTGGTCCTGGGTGGGATTTCCCCATTCCAGCTCTGTCACTGGGATGCTGGCTAGCCTGGGCACTTCCCTTCCAAGCCTCAGCTTCCTCTCCTGTGAAATGGGCACACAGCGTGCCTCAGAGGACCGGGCGAGGCACTGACGACTAAGGCCAGCACACCTGCCAGGAGATGCACTGCCTCAGAGCAGTGGCCTCCCTCGGCCAGGATCCGGATCACCCGGGGGGCTCCTTAGAACACAGATGGCGCCCTGGCTGGCTTGGCTCAGTGGCTGGAGCGTCGACGTGTGGAACAGAGAGTCCTGGGTTTGGTTCCCGCTAGGGGCATGTATCAAAAAAAACCAAAAAAACAAAAACAGATGGCTGGGCCCCGCCCCCGGAGTTTCTGACTCAGCAAGTCTGGGGTGGAGCCCAAGAATTTGTACTTCTAACAAGTTCCCAGGTGCTGCTGGTTTGGGACCACCCTGTGAGAAGCCCTGGTCTACAGCACACCAGGCTGGTGGGTGACTCTGCCTGGGGTGTGTCTGTCTTCTCTCCTTCTAAGGACACTAGTCATATTGGACCGAAGGGCCACCCTACTCTCCCACGACTTCATCTTAACTTACATCTGAATCGCATCTACAAAGACCCTATTTTCAAATAATGTCCCACTCTCAGGTCCTGGGGGTTCAGACTTTAATATTTCTTTTGGGGGAACACAATTACCAAAATATCCTCCAACTCCAGGGGCGTCTTCAGCGGACGCGGCCCCACTGGACATCTTGCCGGTAGCCTCATGAGAGGCCCTGAGCCCAACCCCCCGCTCATCCACGCCCGACTCCTGACCCACACACTCTGTAAAGGAATCGTGTTCCTGATTGTTTCAGGCCACTGCGTTTGCGGGTAGTTGTTATGTGAGAATAGGAACTAACACAAGGAAGCAGACGGCAATGAAGGCGAAGGCGTCCAGTCCTGCTCACAGATCTTCAAGTCACATCAGCATCTGTTTTCAGTCTGGGCGTTTGGCACAACATTTCACACTATTAAAAGTTCTTTGTAGCCTGGCCGGTGTGGCTTAGTGGACTGAACGTCATCCCATGGACTGAGGGGTCCTGGTTCCATTCCCAGACAGGGTACATGCCTGGGTGTGGGCTCGATCCCCAGTAGGGGGCGTGCAGGAGGCAGCCGATCCATGTTTCTCTCTCACATGGATGTTTCTCTCTCTCCCTTCCTTTCTCTCTCTCAAAAAATCAGTAAAAACATATTTTAAAAAACAAACCTGTTTCTAAAGTTTTGCAATGCATAAATCCACTTTCTTAAGATGGTCATTCATTTAGTGGGTGTGTAGGCATTTCGAAATTGCATTGCAAATCCAAGCGGCTGACTCACCATTGTCCCTCTCTGGGCCACGCTTCGGGGCCAGGTCACCTCCTAGGCCTCCAACCCAGCACTCTGACTGGCTGCTCTCAGGTCAGGAGCAATGGCCACAAGGGACTGAGCAGGGCCACCTGTGGGTGAGGGGTGGCCCAGGTGGGTTTCCCTCAGCAGTGGCTGCCGGCAGGCTCTCCCCAGGGCTGCTGGGGAGACACTGGACAGGACAGTCTGCAAACAGGGCTGTCTGCCTTCTCTAGCAACAGCCTTTTGAAGTCCTGTGTGGACGCAGCTCATTCGTCTCCCGCTTCCTCTGCGAGGAAGACCGCAGACAGGCCCAGCTGCCCCGACATGAGGAACCACACGACCGCGCCACTTCCTCCGAGTCTGATTTAACCCCAAACACACTTGGTTTCCTGTCTCCCTGTTATTGTCAAGATTGCCATTTGCTTCCTGAATTTCAGGATCACAGTTGACAAAAGCGTATCACAACCATTAGTCATAGGTGTATTTTTTTTTTTCCTGAAAATGATTTATTTTACTCATTTTCCCATCCTCTACTTTGCTCTGCCATCTGGCAGGTACTTCTTTTCATTGTAAACATCATTTTGTTTTACCACCATTATTTAGCTCCTCCTCTTTTCTATTTCAAGAGCAATTGGTTCTAAATTGTCAGTAGGAAGTAGCTCGGGGAAAGTTCGAGGTGGTCTGATCAGGGGGCGGTGATTCACCAGTGTTTATTGGGTGAAGTGGTTCCCCCGACTGCATTTAGGACTAGCTTCTCCGTCTCTTTCTCAGGCTGATTTGAATCATCTTGGTGCGAAGCAACAGTATGCATTTTTAAGATAATTTCTGTTCCCTGGGGTTTGGGGCAGGGAAGCTCAGTGGGGGTGAGCCAGCCACATCCGGAGCCCCTGCCAGCTCCCTGATGGGGCAGGGTCTGCCCAGAGAGGGCAGGCCAGCTCTGTCATCTGGTGGGAGAGGTCCCTCTCCTGCCCCAGGGGGATTTCCCAGGGCTTCCTTAGGAATCGGAGTTGTTCCTGCTTATTCCCCGAAGACGTGACTCACTCCGGGCCTGTGTGGGCCAGCAGTGAGTCAGCAGGGACTTCGCTTCTTCCCACGCGGACTCTTCAGGACATTCTATGAGCCCGAGGTCTGCGTTGTGAAGAGTCAGCCGTGAAGCCGAGACAGTCAGCCTGGCCGCTCTAACTCTGGGACCTCCGCTCTTTACTGTCCTGCCTGACAGCCAGGGAAAGGCCTGGACGCTGCGGGGCGTGAGGAAGAAACTTCACTCTTTACTTCGTATAATCATGTATCTGCACATACTGTTTTTAAAACCCTAATTTAAAAAGGGGGATGGAACTAAAGTGCTGCAACATTGAAGAGGCAAACCACAGGCAGCTAATTATCCATCCTCTTTAAAAAGGATCCGCCTTCCACTTTAAAAATGATTGGAAACAGTTACTAGGCACAGAGTCAAAATGACTTGGAAATAAACGTCAGGCACAAATAACACCGAAGCGAGCGGCCTGACAATGTCTTCCCACACTGAATCCGATGATTTCCATCTGGAACTAACAGGCGGGGGTGCTTGCTCTGTACCTGGTGGGCGCTCCAAAAACACCTGTTGAGTGATCGACTAAATGAATGACTAAAGCCGACCAACCTCCACAGCAGTTCTGGCAACTGCTCTGCAGAGGCCCAGCGCCTCTCTGCAAATGGCAGCCGGGGCGGCGGAGACTGAATTCTAGCAGCATCGTTCCGCCGGCACCCCCGGCGAGGCTCTGCCTGACGCCCGCGTGATTTATGAAGGCCCTGGAACCCTGGCGGAGACACAGCTGCGCAGAAGGAATCCTATTACTCACACCTTCCTCCTGCTGCCCTGTCTTCAGCAGCTGCCCAGCCCCCTCTCTGGGGCACCGCACTTTCTCCCAGTTACCGAGTCCTGCCCCGACACGTTCTGTTTACCACAGAAGGGCAGATGTGAGCGCAACTCCCTTCTGTTGGTAGGAGCTGCTTCAAGACCCACATTTCTGGTGTTTGCTGGTGGCTCTGGTGTTACCTTTTAGCTTTTTATTCATTTTAGAGCGAGAGGAAGGGGGAGGGAGAGAGAAAGAAATACCCATGAGAGAGAGAAACATCGATCGGCTGCCTCCTGCACACCATTTACTGGGGATCGAACCTGCAACCTGGGTGTGTGCCCTCACCAGGAACTGAACCCGAGACCTTCCGGTGCACGGGATGATGTTCCAACAAACTGGGCCGCACCAGCCAGGGCTGGTGCTACCGTCTCATCTGGATAGAATTCTGGTCGATCAGAATGGAAAGAGGGCCTTAGGGCAGCCATTCCTAATGCAGCTTTTGCTTGGAGAGTTTCTTTCTTCCCTTAGAAAATGTTTGAGGCCTCGGAAATACTTGTATGTCCTGGGTGTCAACAACAAGGACCAGGAACACATGCGCACACACACACGCACACACGCACACGCACACACATGCACACACGCACACACACGCACACACGCGCAGTAGCCAGAGCCCCACCCTCACGGTCCATAGTCTCTCTCATACACCCGCCCATACAGGGCTGCCGTCACCAGGCCAGAGGACAGTCCCCTCTTCCTCAGGAAATAGTGGCCATTCTCCCAGCCAAGCTGGTCAGGGGTTTCCAGGGTCATCCCTGAGGTCAGAAACAGAGGAAAGATATAGGAAGTACTGAAGTTACCCCACAGGTGAAATTCGAACATCCCCGTGGCCTCTGTGACCTCCTGCCCACAGGTGTCAAAGCCAAGACCCCCACACTTGACCAGGGCACAGACTTGAACGTAGTAAGTGCCGTGCACGGTGTGCAGGCCGTCGAAGACCCCCAGGGCATACAGCTCGTCAGACACAGCAGGCCTCTGGTAGCGCAAATAGCAGCAGAGGCCGTTTGCACAGACTCGGAGATGGCCTTCCCGGTCCCACACCGGGACCAGGGTGAACCTGTCATACATCATCTCAGAGTGAAACGTAGGGGGGGCGTTCATGTTCCATCGGGGGGCTCCGTCACAGTGGACCTCCTGAGAATCCTTCTCGCAGTATGCATCACCGGCCAAGAGTTTTAAAAATTGACTATGGGTTGGGTCCATTTTACCTGTGGTATTCTTGGTACTGAGACCCTGTGGATTTTTGGCTACCTGGCTAATTATAAGGTGACCTGTGAAGTTTTCCATGTCATGGTGCCAGACGGACTTCAGAGGCGTGTGTACACCACTCCCGGTCATCCCCAGAGACGGCTGGTGGACGTTAGCGGCCAGAAGGTTGACCCCAAAGGCCATGGCGAAGGCCCTCTGGATCTGAATGGCGGCCAGGAGTGGGAGCTGGTTCATCCAGGCAGCCGGAAACACGACGTGCTTCACCTCCGAGTCTCTGAGGAGGGCGACGGCTGGGTCAAAGAACAATATATCAAAGCAGGTGAAGACACCAAACTTGCCGGCAAAGGGGGTGTCAAAGACAATGTGATCCGCTTGGAGAGGGGTGTCAAACGCTGCCTCAAAGTAGAGGTTGTGTTTGCGGTAGCGGTCTACGAGGGTCCCGTTGTTGCTGAACACGACATCTGTGTTAAACTGGTATCGGCCGTCCCTGGGACACCCGGGGTCACCGCCACAGGGCTGCTTCGTCCCGAGGTTGGCCACCAGGAACATGTCTCCCTGAATGGCCATGCAACTCAGGCGCTGGAGGACCTGGGGGCGGGGGGAAATTGTATAAATAAATGGATTTTTAAAATCCTGCCTTTGGCTTATAATTTTAAAATAGAAAACGACCTGCACTGTGACCATTATATATATAAATAGCTATCATAAACCAACAAAAAGCAACCACTACTGAAAAGGTCCAAAGGATAGAAAGAACTCATAGAAGAACAAATACAATTGACCAGCAAACATTTGAGAAGATGCTCAACCTTATTAGTACGAATAAAATGCAAATTAAAATAAGGGTATTTTTCACCTTCGTAAGATGGGCAGCAATTCAAAAGAGTATTCTACCTTATGTTGACGAAGAGGCCGGGAAAACAGGCACTCACACACAATGACTGGCGTGGCAAGGAAAATCAGAAGTGTTTAAAGGGGAAATTTGGGACTCTTGAGAATAATTTAAACTGTGCCAACCCTTCTGCTGAGAAATCCCATTTCTAGGACTCTCACCTTACAGAAAAACTTAGACGTGGTCACAAAAATATGTGTACAAAGATATTCATTGAGACACTTTATAATAGCAAGAGTTAAAAAAAGGATAAGAATATAGCAGGTTAGAAAAAGAAGGTGTCAATTTCAAAATGCGTAGAAAATAATGACAGAGATGGACGTGCATCAAACTGTTGATGGCGGTGTCTCTCGAAAGGAAGGAGGATGAGGTCTGGGAGGTGGTGCAGGTGGGCTTTCATATTTTTCTTTGCTTTCTAAGCAAATGAAGCAATGTATATTCATGTATTACTTGTGTGATAAATAGAACAACCCATAGATGGGTAAATGACTCGTGACATCAGACATCCTTTAACAGGAGGAATGTGTGGCCCATGGATGAATTGCGCTGCTGGGATCCTAGTGTTCTTTCTGTCTTCATCTAACACGTGTTGGCTTTGGGCGCCTGGCTGGTTCATCTCTGGACGGCTTCGGCCCACTGAGCAGGACGGCTGGGACGCTCACTCACCTCCGTGTCACTGAATCGCTGGGGCTCCAGGCACGGGTTCCACCTGACCAGCCGGGGAGATGGCATGAAGTCCAAAAACGGGTAAATGGATGCTCTTGTGAAGTTGAACCCATGAATGCCGTCTTCTGGGAACACTATAATCTGTACGCCCTGTGAGTCAGACACATCGAAGTACAGTATGTTATCAGGGAACGGGAAACACCGCTTCACTCATTTATTCCTTCTCTCTTTGTTCATCTGGCAGCCATGAAGCGGTCGCTGGGTACCAGGAACCAGAGGGTAAAAACCGGTGGCTGAACTCTCGTGAGGGACCTTGGTCTTGGGAAAGCCATCTCACGTGGCCTATTCTGAGGGAACAAAGATAAAGTCCTCTGGGAACAACTGTGTAGCTGGGGGCACGTACAGGGAAGGAGGACTGAAGGGAGCAGGAGTTTGCCCAGCCAACCTTCAGGGGTTTGGAACTGGTGGTGGTACAGTGGGCGATGGGGCCAGTGACAAAGGCCTTGAGTTCTGGGCTCATTAGCAGATGTGGTTTCTCCAGCCCAGTGGTTTCTGTCCTTCACTGTGCACTGAAATCAGATGGGGAACTTCTGAAAAAACACTCCCGTGTAAGGGTGACGCTGGGGCCCACCAATAACGGTCTTCTTTGATTGATTGTGGGTGGGGTCCTGGCAGTAGTGTTTGTGTAAATGTTTCCAGGTACTTCTAACGTGCAGCCAAGGCTGGGACTCACTAGACGTGAGTATAAGTCAAGCGTGTTGATTTCAGCATAGGAACAAGGACCTGCTCTAACTTGCCATTCTCCAGCCGGGAATTTGGAGGCTCCCTGCAGAATCCTGAACACTGCAAGGCCCTTGCCCACACCTGCAGGTACCTGGGCTCCCCGTGGTGTCTGCAGCAAGAAAATCCAAGCAAACAGGGCAGCCTGCAGCTCTCAGCACTAGGGCCTCTCGCTTCTGCTGTTCTCACCCCCACGGCTTCAAGGGCCAAGCCTGGGACATGGCCCAACAGCGAAAGGGGAGGAGGAAGGCAGAGAAGGCATGAATAATCTAAAATAACGGGCAATATGAGTCACTGATTTCTGGAATGCATGGAAGACTTTCATTATAATTTTTTTCTGGGTATAAAAGCTTCAAAGTTGAACTGTAGGAAACTAAGAAAATAGAAACTATAGAGTAAGAAATCATAATCCTGCGACATAAAGATACTCATTGTTAATATCTTGGCTATTTTCATTCTCTCTAATTGAGATAATAAATATATGGTTTTCCATCTTGACTTTCTCACTACATAAAACATCAAGACTACAAAGATACCTTCAAAAATATCACCTGTGCCCTGGCTGGTGTGACTTAGCTGGTCGGAGGGCCGTCCCATACACCAAGAGGTGGTAGGTTCGATCCCTGGTCAGGGTACATACCCAGGTTGCGGGTTCAATGGCCAGTTGGGGCACATGTGGAAGGCAACCAATCCATGCTTCTCTCTCACATCCATGTTTCCCTCTCTCTCTTCCTCCTTCTCTAAAATAAAATTTAGAAAAATACAGTGAATGAGTGTTGTACACAAATCTTTGATTGGACCTCTGATTACTTCTTTGGAATAAATCTTCTAAGTGAAAGTACTGGGTCAAGGGTATGAGAAGTTGTATGTTCTTAATATCCATTGCTAAATGGCTTTCCAGAAAGATCATACCAATGTACACTCCCGCAGCAGAGTAGGAGATTAATGTAAAGGAAAGTTCGATTTTCGTAAATTTGGAAATAAAGCAAGATGAAGAATGTGCGCCTTTCCAAGATATCCTAGGGTACTAACTAACCTCACTTAAAGACTATTTATCTAGTGAACATACCCCTGTTTGACTTTCCTCGTCAATAAAACATTACGTGGAAGATCGCAATTCCATCGCCCCACAGGACATTAGCCAGTGTTGTGTCTACTGGCAAATTCACTTCCACACGCATTCGACTGACTGGCACACACTCTTCTCAGTGGGACAAGCTTCACTACCTTACAGGCTCCTTCGTAAATTGATGAGCTTGGTACAAGCTTTGACACATGTTTATTCCATATTTGTATGACTCACCTTTTTAATGTTTTGAAAATTATACTTGGACAATTTCCGTCAGTAAACTCAAAACTTTGAGAGCAATGAATTTTTTTTTAATAGAAAATGACATTTAAGTTATGTATAACTGTTAGATTAATATTAAAATTGGATTGATTTCCTGAATCCATACCTGCCCGGGATGAGGAGAGGAACCGAACCTGAGCTGGGGCAGAACTTCTGGGTCTGATGCGATTACCAGTCCTTTCTAGGAACATTCTAGGAAGGAGGTAACACTCCCGATAAATGACTTGAGCAATTTTCTGATAAACTCAATGAGATCAAGAACTCCTTACTATCTTGAAGCTGGACTCCTTTTCTTCCCTATAAATACCTCTACCAAGAAAGAAAGATTTCAATCAGCTTGTTCAGGAACCTCTACCCTTAAAACAAACTTGTTATGAAAGTCTGGCACATGCTTCGCATCAATTTGTCTTAGAAGTTTCTGGGCCACTGAAGATGTTCCAGGAGAAACCGGATGTCAGGTGGGGAGAGAAGAGAGGAGTGTCACCCATCAGAAGAAGTTGCACCAGGTCTTTAAGCTCCCTTCCAACATTACTGTGTGTGTGTGTGTGTGTGTGTGTGTGTGTGTGTTCATGTAGCCTAGAATTTTTCTACATGGCCACAGGTAGTGACTATCCAGACAATCCTGTCCACCCTGACCAGAGACAGGGACTGTTTGGGGCAGGACCTGTTGGCATGACTGGCTCTGCCCCCTCCGTTCCCAGACACAGGGACGTTTAGCCTGTGAGGAGGCAGAGCAGGGCTTCCTCCGGCAGCTGGGCTTGCTTGCCCCACACCAGGGTCAAAGCCCACATCGTCTTTGGTTATGGGTTTCCCATCAGGGCAGTATCCGCCCCGACGTTTCCCTCGGCCCCGCCCTTCCTGGCAGGAGCTGGACAAGCAGGAAGCCTTCACAAAGCCTGGCACCAACCTCCCTTTGTTCCTCGGGTTCAGTTCTGTCTGGACTGAGTTCCCAAGACTGCTCACCGGCCGGCACTAGGACCAGAAACGAGCCCCGAATGATCAGAAGGCAGCAACGGCACTGTGTGGGTGCCTATTTCAGTTCTACTCCCAATGCCTCAGGAACAGCGGCCAGCGCCGCGCCCGGGGTTTTCACACGTTCTACACGTCAAATCCACCGGGAAGCCTAAGAAATCCCACTGCCCAGCCCACAGCCCATCCGAATCAGGCACCAACATTTGTTTCCAACTGAAGGCGCGATTCCTCCACACGGCCACATTTGAGGGCCAGGGACCCAGGCCTGCTTCTCAGGCTTGTGAAAAGCATCCCTCAGGGTACAGTGGAGGCTGACTCATCAGGTCTGGGCGGCGCCCACATTCTGCATCTCTCACGAGCTCGGCCGGCCGTGGATGCTGCCGGGCCCCTGGGAGCAGCGCCCTCTCACCAACTGCGTGCTTCAGCTCAGCTTCCCCACCCGAGCTGCAGGAGCCCTGCCCAGGGGCTGAGGAGTCACTTCCCCTGTTTTGTAAGACAAGCGGGGGCTCTGCCCCAGGACCAGGTCTTGCCTTTTGGGCTGCAGTCATGACTTGCTGCTCATAGATGTTGAGGTTCTGGGTCATCAGCTCCAAGGCCTGCTTGCGGCTGGTGAGAGCTTCAGGGTTGGGACTGGAGATCAGCTGGTGCTCATACACCGCAGCCACGTAATAGTCCGTGTCCTGATCCTCAGCCACGCCGCGCTCCCCGCTGAGGACTCCCAGGGCCGCCGCGCAACAGCCGCAGAGGAGAGCAAGGAGACTGCCGGCTCCAGACATAATGCAGACCGTAAATCTGGAATGCAGTGAGGCCGGGGGAAAACAGCTGAATAAAGAACCCTGCCAAGAACTTCACTTTTGCAACTGTGATTTATTAATTCCCAGCAATTAAACGCGCCCGCCGTGGTACTGCGGCGCAGAGTTTGTTTCGTGTTCCTAATAAAAGGGTATGGGTTTCCCTCCAAACACGTAGCTGTGTTTCAAATGGCTCACTGTGCTAACTGTCTGGTTTGAGAACATTTCCGAAACAGACCCAGTGTCTGCGTCACTAATCTCTTCTCTAGCGGCACATGTACGTTTTGGGCAACAATCATTATCCGGATTGTTTTACAGAATTCCGGGATACGTGCCACACCCCACAGCCTGTCCTCTGAGCACACAAACATACTGCGGGCCTGCCATTCACCCCAACTGTGACTGCTGGGATCCTAATAACAGCTTGGCTTTCCTGTCGGAAAAACGGGGCGCATTAGAATCCCCCCTGCATTTCTTTGGTTGGTAGTGGATCTGAAGGGCAAGGCTCCCTTGACTCAGCACCACTTCCTTTGCTTGCTGCAGAGAAACTGCTGACTTCCACTCGACTGTCAGGATCGACTCGTTTAGGAGCAGAGAAAAAGTAGTCGCCCAACCGCACCAGACTTTCTTTTCCTCCTTGAACTTGACAATTGCCATTGCCCATCATCACCTCTCGATCTCTGTCTCTGTGACTCCAAAACTCTTGCTGGAAAGCATACTCATTTGGAAAGAATATCCCTCTGCAGGGATAACATGTGATCTTCTAGAAAATAAGCCAGAATTTTCTAGAAAGTAAACTCAGCTTTGTAACTCCTATCGTAAGAGATTAAAAGTAAATTATACATTATGTCACTAACAATGACACTTCTGTGTGCCTTCCCCTCCCAAACAGGAATTTGTATTTCTTTTTTTACCCTTTTTATTGCATTTATTGGGGGTGACACTGGGTTAACAAAATTATACAGGTTTCAGGGGCACAATTCTCCAACACATCATCTGTACCCTGTACGTGTTCACCACCCCAAGTCAAGTCTCCGACAGTTATCATTTATCCCGCCTCTCCCCCACCCCCCAATCACCACGCTGTCCATGATGTATTACTACGTGTTTGAGTGACGAGCCCAATTCTGCCTTGAAAAGCAGCCTGGCCTGGCAGCTGAAGCCCCTCCCCCGGGCAGAGTCACCAGGTGGTGTGCCAACGCCGGCCACGTGCTCAGTGGACATGTGCTGGGCTGACCAACTGCCCAGGAATCCGGATTAAACACCAAGAGGACAAAGTCAAATCCAGGAATCACATTGCTGCTCTTCACAAATAAAATGACACCTTGCCCGAGCTTGACTCATGATTCCTGTGCTTGCGTTTCAAAACCAAATCCTCCAGGCTGCACATTTATTTTCCTTTTTTCTTCTCAAATGTTCCAGAAACAAAAACAACCATAATTATTTTCAGCAATAGAACAAGGACTAGGGATTCTCAGTCATTATCCTCAGAAAATCAAATACTTCTCCCAATAAGTGGCGTTCTGCCCCCCAGCCCTGCCCCCTCTCAAACTGCTCCTTCTTTCCCAGGGGAATAAATGTACCATCCAAATACCAAACCCCAGGACTTGTTGCCATTCAGCTGAGACACTGTCAACAATGTTTTAAGATGAGAACAAGGGGCCTTTGAATGAGCAGTCATGAGTGTTTGAGCAGAAACAAAAGCATAATTGATAAGCTTTCTGATCTGAATTTTGCCTCTGAAGACCAGCAAAGAATAATTTTGAAAGTCTCAAAATCTATTTTCCATCCCATCTCTGCTTTCATAATGATGACGATGGGGAATGGTCTGGGGGGAAAACGTTCCTTTTCAAAGTCATAGTCACAATATCTCTAAAGAATAAGGCTATTATGGCCTCACTAAGAAGCGGGGAAACTGAGGCGGGGTAGGGGGCCGCGAGGAGGCATTCGAACCAGTGCCTGGTGCAGGCAGGTCAGGAGCCCCTGGGGCAAGGGTGGCATTCACCGCAGCCCCCTTTCTCAACTAAGAGCTGTGCACCACAGATCTGGGAACACAGGACATTTGTTTAAGTCTCACTGACTTGCAAGCCAACAAAACAAGGAAACTGTGGAAACAGCAAGATATCACATTACTTTCTATCTTGAGAAAACAAAATGTAGCTTATTTACAAAAGGAGCGGGTAGGAGAGCAGTGAGTGGCAATCACTTGTACATGAACAGAGGTGAGTCGATAATGAGAGGTTATACATATTCAACCAGGTATTCATGCTTGAAAGAAGCGAGCTTAATGAGGTTGGTGAGAATGAGTAATTGCGATAAAAATAAGAACAGAAGCCTGCCCTTCTTGAAGAGTGTAGAAATAGCTGCCATTTTAACCAACTTGCAAATGCTAGTTTTCCCCCTTTATTTGACACTACACAATTGTCTCGGAGAAAAACAAACAAGGTCGAAGCAGGGACTCTGAAGGGCACAGCAGGCAGACTGGAAGGGACAGTTTCCAGTGGCTACCAGGTGCTGGCTCATGATGCCATGCACAGGTGGGCTGGGGGTATGGAGGCTTCCTGGGAACAGGGGGGCTCTAGAAAGTCATGAGGCTCTTGAAGACCCAGCAACTGATCCACCTTTGGAGCTGGCCAGGACCTGGACCATAAGCAAAACAGTCACCAGAAGTATGTGCTGGTTTATGAAGGTTGCTCTGCCCCCTCTTGCATTGGAGGGCACTTGACAGGTGAGACTAAACTTCAGGAAGGGCCCAGCATGAATGTACCGTTGAGGTGACAATTGTTTCTACACCCTGCTTGACATGTTGTGCTCACCCAGCCCTCTGGGATGGGGGCACTGGCCAGTGAGATGCCCTGAATCCCACTGCCAGGAAACAGCAGAGCCAGGAGGGCTCACTTCAGACATCCATGGGACATGCCAGATACAGGGTAGGTGTCGGATACAGCAGTGAATAAGCCCAGCCCTTCCTCAGGGAGCACCCACTTTGGATGAATGGAAAGACAGACAACCACAGTCAAATATCTAGTATGTCAGGTGATCAATGCAGAGGACAAATAAAGACAGGGAAGGGAGAGGAAGGACCTGGCTTTGAATGAGGGACAATTTTAATCAGTATGGTCAAGGAAGGCCTCAACAAGAAGGTGATGTCTGAAGAAGGCAAGAGAGGAGGCCATTTGGATGCCTGGGGAAGAGTGTCCCAGCCAGAGAAAATGGCTCAGTCAGCGCATGTGGAAGGTTGCTGGGTGGGTTCAAGCAAGGAGAACAGTTGGCTGGAGCCCAGGGACCAGAGAAAGGCAGCAGAAAATGAGGTCGGAGAGAGAAATAATAGGGGGCCTCTCGCCTGGCCTCCGCACACCTCCCTGCAGTTTCTACTGTTTTCTTCATTCTCATCTAATGAGAGCAACCAGAGAGACCAAGTTAAAGCCTGCGTGGATCACGACACTCCTCTGCTCAGTCTTCCCGGACTCCACTGCGTGCAGAGTAAAAGCCTAAGACTGTGCCAGAGGAAAGGGCAGGTTGACAGGCAGTCACTGACAGGTGGGAAGAGAATTGCAGGAGTCACATCTTCAGCAAGCATCCTGATCTTTTAACTGCCCTCCAGACGCCTCTATTTCTCATTTCAGAATGGAAAATATTCCCCCGACACTAATCCTAATCAGGAAGGCTCTTGTGATCTAGGAGGAAAAGAAGTCAAAGTCTAAATTACATAGAACTCTATTTTGTGGAAATTTGGTAACATGTCAATCACCAGATATTTTTACACCCAAGGAACGTTTTTTTCCATCTTGTTAAATGATTCATCTTGGTAATTAGCTGTTTCCTTCCTAGCCATGATAGTACAATAGTGTCTTTTGCAATAAAATGAGAGAATTATTCTTAAGACATTCTTAATAAGATAATTGCGGAGGCAGGTATAGATATTTAAAAATTTATATATAGACCTACTGATCTTGTTAACAAAAGAACTTGTAACTCTTTGTCAGAGAAAGTAACAGTCCCATGAGTGGGAAAGGAGGCAGGAAAAGTCGGCAGAGGAAATGTCACATCCTACGGGACAAAGCCTGAGTAAGTCATTAGGAATCAGCTGAATATATGTCTCTATGTATATCTGACAGGAAGCCAAGAAAAACACTGGAAATTAAAGTTCCGAATAGTTTTAAATCTATTCTCGTGAATTTTGTGATTTCCATGTCTAAATCCTTTTACATGAGGAGGAGAAATGCTGTCCCTCTCCATCGAAGTTACATAATCTACATTGAAAGAAATCCCCAAAGAGACTTTCATTTCCTAGAAAGCTTCTTGTGTTCTGCTTCTCTCCTGTGACGATGCTAGAAGTGAGCTCGTCCATGACTGGCCTTGGGAACAAAAGGTCCCACAACTGTTTTTGCTTGGAGAGCTCTGTGCAAACCCATCCACCACCAAGACTCTTGATGTCTCGGTGGGAGATGTCAAGTGTAAACTTTGAGTGGCAATGGATGAGGTCAAAGTTCAAGGCTGAACTCACAAGGAATAGTGAACAAGTTACCAAGCCTCTCAGTTGAACTGATAACTTGTGATTTCATCTTTTTAAAAAGTCCAGCTATTTCTCTTCAAAGAGAGAGTGATATACAGAAGTGTAACTCTGGCCCAGGCCTTTGCTTAGGGCCGATTTCTGCTCTGCCGGCTAGTCATTTCTCTTGGAGCACTAAATGAGCAAGCACGGGATCCTGATTCGTGAACCTAAACATGTCCTCCTTCTTTTCTCAAATAGGAAATAATCTTCATAATTTAAGTGAAATAAAACTTCTCCCAGAAATGCTCAGGTGCTGAATGTAAGAAGGCTCTTTTTCATTTCGTACAGACAGAAAAAAGCCCCAGTGGAGACTGATTCTACAGGTTTGCTACTGACACCCTGTGGACAAACTGAGTATCACTAACCCAAAAACCACAAGCAGGACGATTCTCATGCAAAAACTGGATGGCTTTTCCCCTCCTTCCCTTGATTTCTAATATCAGCTA